TGCGGCTGCTGTGGTTGCGGCTGTGGTGGCTGCTGCTGCTGTGGCTGTGGCTGGACATCAGGTGGTCGGATCTGCAGCAGGTGGAGGTAGTGCTGACCTCCAGAGGCCCCCTGTGGTGCCGATGGCTCCAAGCTCTCACCCTGGCTCAGTTGGTGTAGAAGGAGCCTCTCTCCATACTCCTGGGACGGACCACTGGGTTGTGTTGGGGGCCCTGGACAAGATCTCGGATTCTGCCTCTTCAGCAGAGCGGCCAAGTCTTGAGGGGGCAACCTGGGATCAGCATGCCCTGTTAATGAATGGCGGGGGGACAGGAGGCCCTGTAGGGTGGGGGTGACATGCTGTTGTGGAGGGTGGTAGTCCAAAGGTGTTGGGGACAGCAGGGCCTGTTGTAGTGTTGAGGGAGTGCCGTAGCTGCCACTTCCCACTGCCCCACTCTGGTAACCCTCCAGGCCAGGGACTTTGAGCGAGGCCGCCTGCAGGTAGGGGTTAAAAGAGCCCACAACCCCAGAGGCACCGCGGGAGGCGGTGGCAGCAGCGTCACTACTGAAGAGGTGGGGATTGAACTGGGTCTGCTCGTAGCCGGTTGTGAAGCGTCCAAGACTACGACTGAAGATGAAGAAAATACGATACATGTAAATAGACAGGAAAACGTTTACGGACTAATTGATTGTATTGTATTTTTAGACAATCTACAGGAGGTTTTCACAACAATCACAACACACACACTCCAGGAAATACTTCAGGCTGGGTTTTAGAGTTGTCATTTGTGTCCGTTCTTAGGTTTTTCTTTCAAAACAAAAACTGATTCTGCTCTGTCCTGACCACTGACTTTTCTGCAAACTAAATGTATGGTAAATGTGCACAACTTAAGATCGCACTTTGTTTATTTTAAATATTATTTCCCCTTCGATTTGACTGCTTCTAATCAAGAGAATCTACATTTACAGAAGGTTTGTAGGGACAAGGAATTGCTGCTTACTCAACCAGCTGGAACTAACACATACTACAAGGTTGCTAACAATGAACAACTCACCCAACTAATTTGTAGAGAAGATAGTGATGAGAAACTATCTTGGAAAACTCAAATCAACATTTTAACATATTTTTTAAAAAAAAGATGCAAAAAATATTTCCTTGTAAATAAACTGGTTTCACCAAATGAAAGAGACAAACAGGTGAAGCAACAGAAACAACAAAGAATGGCATGAAGATGATTATTAAGGGAGAGGTTATGACATGCATAGATTGCCAAAGAAAGTCTGTTCTAATGGAAGGCTTTTGGCAGCTGTCATGACGATGATGATGATGATGAAGAGGACGGTGGGACAAGGTCATGAAGGGTCACCTGTGCATCTCAGCGTTGTCAGCGCTCAGCTGCTTCCCCAGGACTCTGTGTCCTGGCGTGGACAGAAAGCTGCCCGGCCTCTGAGCCCCTCCTCCCAGTTCTACTTCCTGAACCTGAATGGTCACCTGTTCAAACAATCAAAGTTGTTTTTTTCACCTTGCATGCAATGGATCCCAGGACAAATAACAAAACATTTTTAAATAATTAAGTAACAAAAACAATCATCCACGAATGCTGAGATAGAATCCTGCTTGGTGAATTAAAGAGGAGTAGACAGAAGTAAATTTGCGTTTGGAGCACGTTAGTGTGCATTTCTGCCCAGGATCTGTTTTTAGAAATTGGTAAATCTATGTCATGCAAACTTAATTTCCTGATATTTAGGAGTAGTTTCAGATATTTCTGACACTGCTTTGGAGAAAATTTTTAATTAAGAAGCATACAGTGAACTGAGAGACTGCAGAAATCAGTACAATGACTCATCTTCACCTGCTGTTGTTGAGGGACACCCTGCGCTAACGGGACAGTTGGGCGCACAGATGGTGCTTGCTGATTGGTCTGTAAAGTGACTCGCTGTAGTCCTGTAGGGGGCGGGCTTCCACTCTGGCCCTGGTACAGTGCTGGAGGACCATGCTGGTACTGCACTGCTGCTGGACCTCCTACTGAGGAAAAGGACAGAAGAACAGAAGGATATGTTTACGTGCTGTTTCAACTAATTTGTTGTGTTTTGACCCTTTAAAAATACATCATATGAAGACAAGAAGTAAGCAGTAGTAATACAGACAGTTAAAACACCACTGCACCTCACACTTAGACCGTCCAGAGATATGTAAGCTCTCTGTTAGGATGGTATTACTCACCATGCCCCTGTATCATGCTTGCAGAGCCAGGCGGAGGGCTCTGATTGGGCTGTCTGAAGAGGTGGTTGCTGGGATGTGTTGGCGGAGGGCTCGAGGGCTGGATTCGCAACCTGAGGCAGAAAAGACAAAGAATGAGAGGAGGAGAGAAGAAGAGAAGAGACAGATACGGCATGGATGTGATGTGATGTAACACTGTGTATTTGACAGAGATGCATTATCATACGTATGTTTCATGAACAGCATTCAAAGGAGAGTAACGGTCACGTGCACTCACCTCTGAAGCTGGTGGGTAAGATGACTGGGCTGGCTCTCTCCATGGCCTAACGACAGACCCTGCAGAAGGAGTGGATTTTAATCAGCTGAATTAAAAACAAAATGTTCTTAACTCGTTCACAACAAAAGCAATAGGCGCAAATTGAGCTCCACATAATAAATGTAAATAGCGCGACAAAACCTAATTTAATATCAGACAGAGCTGTTGACATTTTCATTTTATTTGTAATTAACAGCTTCAATTATCAGCTTAATTGTATACATATATATTTTGTTGTAGTTTTATTCGAGCCAACTCCTTAATGACATGTTTCCACTACATCACATACGTACTTGGATTTGCTGGTGGAGAATTTGTTGCTCTTGCTGGTAGAGGATGTGCTGCTGTTGTGTGTGCTCCAAGAGTCGCTCATCCTGGTGTACAGCATACTTCTTCTGGAGCTGCTCATACTCCTGATGGAAACAAAGGAAGGAATTTATAAAGAATATATCCAAGCCTTTTTTCAAATGTCCAAAATAAATCCTGCATTTATAAATAAATACTGACGGCAAGATGAGACGTGAGATCAGAGTCAACCTTAAATAAATGTAAAAAGTTAACTTCTTATTACTTATTGTATAATCCAAACACATTTACACGCAATTTCAAGTCATTCATAATGAAAATGCTTTTCAGTGGCAGATTTTTTTTGTATTAATCCAAAACCACTAACATTAAAAACACCTTATTTTATCACCATATCCCATCATCTGAATGGTGTTAAGCCTGAAGCTGCACAAAAGCAGCTCATGTTTTATTAGGTATCAGCTAAATTTGGCACAAAAAAAAAACTATAGCTTTAATAACTTAAGGTGTTGCGACTGCTCAAAACAGATCTTTTTACAGAACTCCGGTCTAAACCAGTTCTCTCCTGGGATGGAGAGATATGAAGATACCATGTGCCCCCAAGCCTTTATTTCTATCCAAAATGTTGAATTGAACAGGCTTGCCAGCTCATATGACTGGCTACAACATGTACGTTATAAGATACTTTGAGGTCACATTAACTTCCGTAGTTGTGTTTTCACAGCTTCTTCTTGGATGAACAAAGAAAACAGTCTAAGTGAAAGAAAGTGCTGTGAAGATTTCAGGTGCTCATGGGTCTTCACGCGGCTTAGGGTCAATTGTTTTGACACTCTCTCGAACCCTCATGACCTCCTTAACACTTGCTAAAGATAATCCTAGCATGTCAGTGCACGTCTATAGTGAGGCACCCGCTGAAGAGGTGATAATTTTTTTTTCCCCCTGACAAACTCCTCATACAGGAAGAAGTAACGTCAGTCCAGCGTCACTGTGGATGATGTGATGTCTGCAGACGTCAGAATGTTCCTGGTTTTTTTTGTGTGTGAAAAAACCTTAAAATATATATGCAACTGCTGCATGGTAAGAGGTTTACAATAAGTACTAAAGGAGTATCAGCCAAAGGCCAAACAATATACGCAAGAACGTGGTGTGATTCTACATGTTGTACTGAGCAGTGATTCAAGAGAGAGATTTGTTTATCATAAGATCAGTGTTTCTCAGCACAGAGGAATTTAGTCCTCATCTTATGATGGCCAGCATGCAGCACAGATTTGATATCTTTTGAAATATCCATCACAACCATGGAATATGGACTTTCTCAAGCTTTTGTACAGTAATAGAAGGCAACAATAATCAACCTCAGTTGCCAAAAGATTTCAAAAGTAATAATTAAGAAGTATCAGCTAGAGTTATTTACTAAAGCTTACTATTTGTGACTAATAATAATCTTAATATAAGTAATATACAGTAATCTTTTTTGTAAAATGACATCTATTAAATATGAATGAGCCTTTTCTACCAATATTCCATAAACTCTTTATTCCCTTGATTCATTTCTGTCAACAACACAAATGGCAAATGACGTCACAATTTAACATTTAAGAGATTTCAGTCCGAAAAATGTTGTTGCTCAGAATTTGTCAAAATGGGTTCACGAGTCAAAGAAGCTCAGAAACCCCTGGGATGGTGGGTTTTTAGCAACTTTTTTTCTTTTTACTCATTTTTATTATTTTATATAGTTAATACTAACCAAACATGTCAAAGCCACAATATGTACCTGCTTGAGTTGCTTGATGAGGCTGTTTTCTAGATGAGCCTTAAAAGCCTGGATGGTGGCGGCGCCGTCGGAGAAGCGCCTGACGGGTGAGAATCGCTCCATGGGAAGATGAAGGGTGTTAGAGTCTTTATAGCTGCATCTGACGAGAAAGGGTTGGAGGGCAGGGGGCACAGAAAGCAGACACAAACAAACATGCCAACACACACAGACACACAAAAAGACATAAAACAAACATGACATGAGACACAAGACAATATGTTAAAATTCTGTCACAGCATGTTTTTGATGGAGGGGGACAAATAAGGATGACTAACTGATAGGATGATGTTCTTTTAACAAATTCACAAAAGTAGGACATAAACAAATACCTGTTTCCATAAAAGGTCTTTTTAATGTAACATTAGACACACGCCTTATATTAGGTAACAGGCTCTGCCTATTCTTAGAACAAAAGACAAATAATCACACTTTAAAGTAAGACTACACCACCTTGTAATGGTGATTTAAGTCGGAGACAAACAATAACAGCTAGATCTGTTACACCAACACAAAAAGTATGGCTAATGAGACCAAACACAGCAACTTGAGCTCTGATGGGATGGTTCTACAAAAAAAAGTCTTGCTTGTTTACTCCGACGCAAACCTGCTCCTTCCAGGTTAGCAGGGATTAAGTCATTATAATCCCGGTTTATTGGTGATGAGGGGATTTGACCACCCTGTGTCACATTCTCCATCTCCAATACCACTATTGCTAAAAAAAAATCCCATCTTTTTAGGACGATCTACAGCATTTACCTTGCACGAGTACAGCTTTTGTGTGTGCGTCTGAAAGAGTTAGACCTGATACACTCTGCTCTCCATGTGTGGATTGTGCATGTTAGTCCACATAAAACTTGGGAGTGGTTGTGTCCCCTCACCGGGTGTGTATGTCGGGGGCCCAAACCCCCCTCTGGCGAGGGCCCTGGGGCCGCTGTGACTCTGCTGAGGATTCGCCATGCGACGTGCTTGTGAGTGCGTGCGTCGTGTGCCGCTTGGTGCGGTTCGCCAGGTACCTGGGCCGCAGGAATAGGGGTGAGGGTGGGAGACAGGAAGCATCGCTGGTCAGCTCTCTGTCCTCACTGACTGATGAGATGGGGGGAGCCCCGCTCCGTCCCACCTCCGCCAGTGGGTGTCATCAATTATATCAGTGTAGCCAATCAGGGAAAAAAACAGGTAAATTTACACCACAAATGGATGTTAAAGCTTAAGGTGATCCACAACCTCCAGGCTCCAATTTAAGGACTGGAGTGGTTGCATTTTTTTTTAATCGCTAGTTGAGCAAGCTTTAGAGTTAGCAAAGCTGTGTAAGAAAGAATTGAGAGAAGTTGGGGAAAAAAATTTGCTGAAATTAGGTAAAAATAAAGAATAAAGAAGGGTTTTGGAGATTTAAGATAGAGGAGGGCTGATTTTGGATGCAGATTGAGTTTTGAAACTCTGGCAGAAGGCACTTGCGCGATGGAACAAGAAGGAGAGATGGGATAAGCACCACAGCAGAGTGGCCACCTCCCGTGGGAAAAAGCAGAGCAGCCTGAAATCACTCGCTCCCAGCAACCCAGGACACCAGCAACACTGACTCACGTTGCTGTTTAGAAGAGG